GAGCCGGCCACCGGGCAGGGCGGCCGCCGGGCAGGGCAGCCGCCTTTGTTATGCCCCTTCTGCCTGCTGCAGGGGAGGATAAAAGGAGGAGACCTCTCCTCTGCCCTTTGCCACGTCTCCGAATTGAAATGAAGAGTTACGGTTTGAAATAAATAATTATTTTTCGCCCTAAGTGCGGCTGGCCTTCAGTGGTAACTTGAAAAGGCTCATCTATCCCAGGCTCTTCACTGAGCCACAGTAGCATAACTTTTAATAGGCACTGGAAAAAAATACATGTTTACTTTGTCAAAGTTACACCTTTTCCTGTTGGGTTTTGTTTGGGGTTGTTTTGTTTTGGTTTTAATTACAAAGGTAGAGATCAAAGGAAAAAGGATAATGTTCATTAGGTCTTGTGAATTGTTCCTTATGCAGATTATCTTTCTAAAACCTCGAGGTGAGGATTCCTAAGCAGAGTAAGCACTGCAAGTGTACGTGTTTTGTGTCGAGAGGCACATCTCTCAACGCGTCTCATACCAGTTCTGGTTCAGTTCAGGATTGTACGACTCTTACGATGGCTGATGAAACTTCATGGATAAAGTTTACATGGCTTGCACGTGCAGAGAAGGGAGGGGATTGTCACACCATGAATTTCAGTGCATATCACATGTCCTCCATTCTGTGTACATGCTGTCAGTTCAGCCATCGGTTGAACTTGGAAGAGCTGAAGGGGTATGCTGGTGGTTAAACAAGTCGCCTGGTACTCACAAGAGTTGAGTGTGACTTCCAGTTCTCCATGGTGTTCTCTGTGACTTACATAACTGCTTTTAGCCCCATATGACAGATAGGGAACTGGTTTTCCCTCCCTTTGTGTGTTTAGATCTCATGGTGATGATGGTATTACACTTAATTTAAATGCCTACCGTTGATGTGTGGTGCTTGCCTATCATCTTTTGTTTGCATAGGTTTCCTCCCTGTATTTGTTCCACCCCTTCTTGTGATGCAAGAGCTAGCATTCTCTTCTTTGCAAGCAAAACACTGTTCTGTTGTTTTGGTTTTTTTATACTGTATCTGTTTCCTGCCATTACTGCTGCCCTCTGTTCAGACTGTGCTCAGTCTTCAGCTCTTCCTCTCCTGCGTGTCCTGACTGTACACCCGCCATATTCACTTATGAGCACTGTTGATTTACTTAATCCTAGAAAGTAAATGCAGATTTCTAGATCCTGGGGTCTGGAAAATAATCTGTTGTTCAGAAAATGGTAGTTCAATGCTTGTAGCTTCTCTTTGTGCCTTGCTTAGGCTAGCACTAAGTCAAGGGCAGCACTCTGGGAGTCCAACTCTGAAGGTATCATTTAGATTTGTTACTCTTCTGTTGAGAATGGGGAAGGGAAATGCACTTGTGGTTTTTAAATAGCTGTTTTCCATTGGTGCAGGCATTGACGGAGGGGGAACGGGTGATCCGGAAAGGTAGTGGATGGGGTGTATCTGTATTCCAAAGTCTTTTTGTCTTTTTTCTTCTGTTCTCCTTTGGTTTCATTCCCTTTATGGGAAGACTGGTTACGGGGTTTTTTTGTGATGAGTTGCCTATAACAGTGTTCAGTACACCTCACCAGTAACTTTAGAAGTGGGATTTCATGCATGTTACGTACACAGTCTTTCAATTTATGTGTAAAAACACCCATTCTGCTTGCTGAACTTGTTTTAGTTCTGTACTTAGTTGCATGTTGCAAGGGTTTTCTTCCTTTTTCTGTTGCAAAAGCAAACCTCTCTGACACCTTAGCAGAAGCACGGAAGCAGATGGTTTTTCACCTGTAACTGTTTTGTGTATTGCTTTTTTTCCTCCTGCCCTCCCCCCCGCAACAGGGTTCTGCAGTGCTCCAGGCAGCGAGTTTTGAAGCAGGATGGGAAAAAGACGCTGTGTTCCTCCACTTGAGCCCAAGCTGGCAGCTGGCTGTTGTGGGGTAAAGAAGCCCAAATTATCTGGGAGTGGAACGCACAGTCATGGGAATCAGGCCACAACTGTACCAGGCTCCAGTTCAGGTCCTCTTCAGAACCACCAGCATACAGACGGGAATAATGGAAGGGAGAACGTATCTGACTTGACTTTGGGCCCAGGAAATTCCCCGATTACTCGAATGAATCCCACTTCAGGAGCTCTGAGCCCACTTACTCGGCCCAATGGAACTGCCAACAGCACCAAGAACCTGGTGGTGACAGCGGAGATGTGCTGCTACTGCTTTGATGTACTCTACTGTCATCTCTATGGTTTCCCTCAGCCACGACTTCCTCGATTTACCAATGACCCCTAGTGAGTAAATCCATGTGCGCGAGGAGAGCTGAGAAACCAGCATCCAGAGCTGTGGTTTGGTTGGGGAGGGATGAAGGGTTTCTTCTGGGGAATGGGAAAACTGGTATGCAGGGAGAAAGGGGAGGGAAGAGGGGGGCGCGTTCTGCTGCTTGCTTTGCCTACCAGAAACAAAAAATGATGCACTGTAAGTGCACCAAAGAGTAAAAACTTTGTTATGTTTGTTGGGGGAGATGAGTGGAGCTTTGAAGAGTAGCCTTCAAGGGAGAACATGCTTAGCTCTACAGAAAGAGAGCTAGGCAACATATGAAGAAGAGTGGTGCTTCTTCAGCTCGCAGTCTGATGTGTTGCATGAGACGCTGTGTACTTTACTGAGGAGTGCAAACTCACTTCATGATAACGTTCTGTTAAAGTTTGCTTCCTTCTTTGTGAATAGATTCCTCTGCAAAAAAAAATTAACTGCACTGTGCCTCCCATAAAATTGTACTAAAAGAATGAGTGAAACTGAAATTAGAGTTTTCAAAGAACAGTAAAATAGTGTCTTTGAATCAAAGACGATCCTGCTTCTAATGTCAGACACTAACTTGGTGAAGGGACAAGGGGAGAGACTTCCTTCTGTGAAGCAAGGGGAAGGGAATGAAGTAAGAAGCTGAGATGAGTGCTGAGCAGGTGAGAATTGGACAAGGACACTCACAAGGGTGTTTAGTTGTCCAAGTTAATGGGTTTGGCAGGGAGGGGAACCAAACATTTGTCAGTTGTGGAACTGAAAAAGTGTGTTCTAGAGATAGTGCTAGTTGGGCAATATGGGGAGAAATGGAGAGTTAACTTTCAAGGACGATACCAAGGTTAAGAAGAAAGGAGGTGTGTACGAGAAGAAGCGAGGGGAAGGATTTATGAAGGTATTTCGCTTTGGTGAGATTTAGCTAATGTTTATCTGAAGGTTAAATGCGTAGGTGCGAAAATGTTAATGTTGTTAAAATGTTTGGTGGAAGAATTATATGGGAAGGATCAATGATAGTTACACCTTCTGACACTCTTCCAGAGGCCACCTCCAGAACAACAGATATAATAAAAAGTTGTTGACATCCTTAATTTAAGTTAATGAATTTTAAATTGATGTAAAGGAACAAGGCTTAAACAGGTCAAGGACTCTTTCCATGTATTGAATGTCTCCCCACCTTATTGGCTGTCAGTGTAGATGTAGGTTGTGCATCCATGCAGTTATTATCCGAGCAGGATTATGGATACATGTTCTGAATGCTACCGCAGACTAAGCTGTTTAATATTGTAAATACAAGTGAACAGAGAAATACTCTGGACTAGAATATAGAATAGTTCCAGGGACTCCCTAAACTGAAATATTTCTGTTGTTTTTCATATCTAAGCTAAGTAGGCTCCTTTCAGAAAATGATACATTAGTCTGCTTATTATTATTTTGTCACTCGAAAAGCAAAGGCTTTTTTTTTTTTTTGTGGTGTTGTGTTCTTAAGTCAATAAGAGAGATTATTTTATATAGATTCATTAGTTTGGCGTTAAAGGAGATTTCTAGCTGGATTTTGTTGCTGTTTCTGTCGACTAGTTTCAGAAAAGGTGTTCTTTCAGGAATCTCAGCTGTTTGAATTTTATGCCCAAATTTGAAAAGTGAAACTGGGCATTTCTGTGCTGATGACTTAAAAGTCTTTTAGATCAGCACTCCAAAGCAAAACCAGCTCCTCTCTTCTCTTCCCCTCTAGGCAAATGCCTACCTGAATTTTCTTGTGTTTCAGCATTTATGCTGTTGCTTCTAGCAAATAGTTGTATGTACCCCAGGGCCAAGCACGGGGCTTGCGCTCTTGTAGAGCAGCACACAGGGATGATCTGTCACACTTGAGACAGTGATGTAATGAACTTCAAGTCAAATGTTATCAAATAGAAGGGTAAGCAAAATGAAAATACATAAATAATTTGCATTGTTGTCCTTTGTAACATAATTAATGTTGAGGTAAGAGATCTTTGAACAAAACAAAGGTATACACCAGAAGTCTCTTTGGACAGACAGGAAAGAGACTGTTGATGGGAGGAGTAGAAAGATGCCTGGGTTTGTCCCAGCCTGTTTCTCAGATAACAGATCTTTTCAATTGGTGCTGAACCCTAATGTAAAGATAGAAGTAGTCACAAAGGTCAGGATTCTGCATAAACAGGGTAATAACTTGAAAACCACCACGAATTCCAATTACCAGCTTGAGAGGGTATGCACGTGGACAACAATCTTGATGGGAATTATGGACCTAGTAGATACCTCTGGAGTCAGGGAACCTTATGTACATGTTAGCAATGACGTTCACATATCAATGTAGAGAAGGTGGTGTTGCAAGAGTTGTAGTTATGTCTGAATTAACTTGGTAAATGAAGAAAACATACCCTTTACTGTTCAGGTTATTGAAAAATTTACAATTTTGAACCTGTATGGCATGCAAATAATTAATTGGTTACTCCTTCCACATTTGTACTTCAGTCTTTGATTTTTTTAATAGTAGGTATTACAAACTGGCACTAAAACTACACCATGCAAGTTACTGCTTGCCATGCAGGACAAATAGTAAGATACTTGCATCTAAGATCTGAACTGTGGCAGGTTTTTTCCTAATACAGGCTAAAATCTGATTTGAACAAACGATATTTTGCTACTTTAAAATTCCCTTTGTAGTTGCAATTGGAGAGCTAGTTTTCAGTTGCTGAAATTCCCCTCTCCTCAGCCTAGCAAATGCTCATCAAACACACCTGAGTAGGATGTTGTGCCTGGGGGAGAAATGGTTGCCATAATCTGCTCAGGGTATGACTGCAAAGTGCCGGTAAGTGCTTGTGGGTGAACATGGGTAAAAGATTGTCGTGACTTTTCTCAGTAGATCTGGGAAATACACTTTTCAGGGAGGAGCTATGGAACAATTGACTTATTGTCTGCTGCACCTGCAATTTGCTAAGCATATTTATTCTTCAGGTACAGAAACAACATCTTTTCTACAGTGAAAAACTTTATAATGGTGAAATTTTATATGCTTGTACAAAATCATATCTTTTTATGCCTCAGTTGTTATGACCACAGTGAAAAAATTGTTTAAAATGTGCTTTAAGATATTTTTAAATATGACAGCCTTCTGAATGTAATTATCCTGTCCTTTCTAGTAATATCTCTTCTATTATAGATGCAGAAAGCTGTGTCACGGCTCAGTGGAAACATCTTTTTTTTTCTTTTTTTGGGGGGGGGGAGGAGGAAGGGGAAAGAGGTAAATTGGAAATGTGAACTTGTAATTTGAATTGAAGAAGAGAAGGAACTTAGATTTGTATTCTGTCAGTGATGCTTTTCATTTTCTGCATTCCCTTTTCTGTTTGGGCTGAATGTCACATGGGTTAAGTAATGGTTTCAAAACTTTAAACTAAATTTCCACTAAGCTTGTGACAGTCCTGTTTCTCAGAAATCTCCTTTGTAAGTTTGGTATCTTTTTTTGGCAAGCTTTCTAATGTATTTCTTCTGTTTCTGTTTTCCGTTTCAACGTATGGTAGCTAGATGAAAATGTAGAGGGAATGATATCCTGAAAGTGCCTTGAAGTTTTGTTGGAAAACTAGAACAGTAAATGGTCTGTCTTGGTCAAGCAACCATAGGGTGGCTGATGGTTGTGGACGAATGTTTCCACTTCCTATGTGGGCAAAGTACTTCACAATTATCACTTAAAGGCTGTGTGCTATTTTGGGTAGTACTTCTGCCATTGGTCACAGCTGGTAACTAGATCCTGAGTGATGGATTTATGCTGTGATAGAGTTTTTTAATTCCATTGTTCTGAGGAACATCACTGGGCGTTGCTTTATCACTACATTTTAAATTATCTTCTATCTACTTAGACATGAGAAGCTCTGTTGCCTGTATTTGAGAAATCACCCACACTGGTTGGTCATCCATGTGGAAATCATCCGCGCTGGGTTTATTGTCTTAACAGAATCTCTTAGTATTTTTTGTAATGTTTGCTGCAAAGATATATTGCTTAGAGGAGGCTCAAGAGTTTGAGGAAAGTGTCTGAGCTCTGTTGTAGAAATCAGTTATTCTGTCTTCATGTTTTAGAACTCCTGTCAATGTTGACTTAATCTCAGAAAGTTACTTTCTTAACACTGCGTGTTTTCTATCTTATTACTTAAAGTTCAGTAGAAATCCACAGGCTGATGTTTGGAATCACTAATGACTAACTTTCTCATTTATGCTTGGGTTTGAAGTGGCCACATCTTGTATTCAGTACTCTGTAATCTGAAAAAATAAGATCATTCATCCTGTTTTTATAATTAGATCAGCATCATCAGTTGCCTTGCAGAATTTTCCAGATGCTCAGGCATTGTTGTAGAGCTGCAGCCTCCACTATCCTTTCTTCAGCTGTTTCTCTACAGCTGTTTGCAATTTCATTCACTTCTGCAGAAGCGAACTTTTTGCATTTAATATTCACAGTCATCTTTACCTATTTACCTCTTCATAGACCTCTTCTGAATACTGTTTTTCTGAACTTCTTGTTTTCTGAGTCTTAATCACGGCTTCTAGTTTAACAGATTGAAATGAGCCTGCTGAATTTGAGAATCTACTGTTATGCATGTAAATTCATGATAGTAGACAGGAAAATGGAAATCCATGTGATGTTTGAGTAGCAACAATATAGTGTTTTAGATACGTGTTCAACAGGAGAGAATCTATGTAAATATAAATCAAATGTATGGTAAGCAAAAGATGTGAATATAAACTGTTTAAGCACTAGGGACAGACCCAGAAGTCAGATCCTCATGGAAATAACAGGAGAAAAAAAAAGCTAGGCTTGTTTTTTATCCTTTAAAAAAAAAAAAAGCTTTTATTGCAAACCTGAATTATAGATGATTTGCAGAATGCTTGGGGATCTTTCAGGTTCTATGGTACTATAAATAAGTAATCTTACTGCCTTCACCTATACTAATTTTAATATGGGTTGTCATGTAAACTAGTGGATGCTACTAAGTGAGGCCATTTCTTACAGAGGTAATCAGTGGGGTCAAATAACCGTATCACTCATTAGAGAAGACAGCACAGAATCTGGCCAGGAAGGTGTCAGTGGAGAGCTTACAGAGTACTGATGGAAGGAAAGGAGTATGCCAAAAAGGTGGGGGGAGATGCTGGGTTTTGCATTTGGGGGGGTGTGTGTGTTTATTATTGCTAGGTAGCAGGTAAGAAAACATGTCTATTGGGGTTTATTAGAAGGAGGGACAGCAAGTACACACATATGTGCTCTTTTACACCTTGTTGGTCTCCCCTTAGCAAACAAATATCTCTAGAGGCTGGAGTATTTCTGGTTTTTGCCTTTTCAGTCCACTCTTTGTGACGTGGAAGACGGGGCGAGACAAGCGGCTTCGTGGCTGCATCGGGACCTTTTCAGCCATGAATCTTCACTCAGGACTCAGGGAATACACATTAACCAGGTAATTATGTTGAAAATGAAATAAATCTGAAAGTAGTTTAATTTGCTGAAGATCTATAAGGATTGAAGGTTAAGATGTTGGATTGACATAGTTCAATTTAATATGCTTCACAATAAAATAAACCTGAGAAATGTGTGACAGTTAGGGTGAGGTAAAATATATCAGGATTTAGTGGAACATCTTTGCAACAGGTGAATTTTGGTTCATGTTTTAAGGGTAATGTTGAATCTGTCTTGCAGACTAACAGTTTTGATATCTTACGTAGCACATAACTTCTGTCCAGCTGCAGTAAGTGGAGGACAGCGTCAGGAAGCTTGCACTAGAATTTGCATTCATTAGATTAGGGAGAGATGCAAATCACTTTCTCTGCTGTAGCAAAGAGGAACATGTTTCACAGAGACATAATCAAAAAGGGAATAATTGAGCATCTGACACTTTAATTTGGTGCTTGTATTAAGCAATATGTGTTCTCTTCCCTTTAGTGCACTTAAGGACAGCCGATTTCCCCCCCTGACCCGCGAGGAGCTGCCCAAACTCTTCTGCTCTGTCTCCCTCCTTACTAACTTTGAGGATGCCAGTGACTACCTGGACTGGGAGGTGAGAACAGGTGCATTTGGAACTCTGCATCACTCTCTCGTTCCGTTCGGGTTCGGGTTAGTACATGGTGATGTGTCTCCTTCATTACAGGGGTGGATGGGTATTGAAACCGGGAATAGAAGAAATGAGGAAAACCAGAAGGGAGGAAGAGGATGGGCTAATAATATGCCTTTGGGCAGGGGGGATCTGAATGGGAAGAAAAGAGACGTAAAAGTGTTTTATGGATTTGGCCCAATAGGAGATGGGATATAAATACATAAAATACATTTACACCAATAGGAGATGGGATATAAATACATATGTAAAAACCTGGGAAGTACTTTGATGCTGTGAATAGAAACTGGGAATAAAAAGTAGTTAAGACTGAAGGCGTTAATCATTTTTAGGACTTTGTACTTGGAAGTATATTTAGTTCAAGACGGATTAAATAGACTTTGTGGTTGGGCTACTTTAGGCATGATTCTTGTGTAGAGATCTTGTCTTCCTTGCCCAACATAAGAGATGTAAAACAGTCAGACTTCTGACAAGACTTACTTCAGGAGAAGTGGCAGGGAGACTTGTTAGGCTCGTCTGGGAAAGGTGGTAGAGGTCCTCGATGCTGTGAAGAGAGACGCTTGTGAGACCTGCCTGGCAAGGACAGAGAGTGGGGAAGAGACTGTCTTTATGCCGGCAAAAGCCAAACTGGCCAGAGAGAGAGCTACACAGTGTTGTGGGAATGACAACTCAATCATGGACTCAGTGCTAGCAAACACCTCTTATTTGGCTATTCATTTCCATCTATAGGTTGGGATCCATGGGATCAGAATAGAGTTCATCAATGAGAAAGGTGTCAAACGCACAGCCACGTATTTACCTGAGGTTGCTAAGGAACAAGGTGAGTTTGAGATGGCAACCAAACATGTCAAAACATTGTGTCACAGAATTGGGTAACATAAATCTATGGATTTTGGGTTTGGATTGCAATGGTTTCCTTAATAGTGCCGTGGAGCCACCAGGCTTAATCTGGATAACTGACACCTGATACAGCTGCTGCTGGGTTTTCATCTGGCCTTTCTCTCATTCCACATCTGTGCACAGCTGTATCTTAGTGTAAAAATGTTTTAGGGCTTGAGAAATAGAGGATCTCAAAGTATGGATCTTCCAGCTTCATTCAGCGTTGCATCTTTCCTCTTCTATGTTTCTCCCACCAACTAGGATAACTGCAGGCTGCACAGCACCAACAGGAGAGTCCCTTTCCTCCTCATTCTTGCTAAAGTAGCATCCTCCAGATGAGGGCAGGAAACAGGGCCCCTCTGGAGCACACTTCCCACTCAAATATAGTAGCGGTCACCATGGTAACTGCTCAAAATATTGCCTCCTTTCCTCCACCTAGCAGAGTGGAGTGGTCGCATCCTCCTGGCTCTGGGGCAAAAGACTAAGGTAGGAATTTTAACTCTGATCTCTCACATAGCAGTGCACTGTGCTATCACTAGAGCATCAGGTTGATCCCAGTTTGTCTGTGTAAAGAGCTAAGTATTATCTTATTTTAAGGCTTAGGGAGCCAAACTTGAGTGGCACGTGATAAAACAGTTTGGGGTCCCTGCAACAGAAGCAAGGCACAGACCTTTATAAGAAGAGAGGCCATATGGAAAATGGAATTACTGTTTTATAGACCAGTTCCAATATGACTTAAAAGGGGTTGGCATGTGCAGATAGTGTGCGTGCATAAGACCACGTATGTCCAGTTCAACACTGGTATTTATAAAGCTCAAAATTTCCTGTTTAGTTGTTTGCTTTTCTAGAAGTCTTTTAATGCATTTCTTACCTTTTCAAAACATCATTTTTATATAGAAAAATGTCCCTTGCTTCTATTTTTCAATAGACTGGGATCAGATCCAGACCATAGACTCCTTACTCAGGAAAGGTGGCTTTAAGGCTCCGATTACCAATGATTTTAGGAAAACGATTAAACTCACCAGGTAAGTCGATATATTTGTTGTCTTTTAATTTTACTTTGTAGTGTTTTGTGGGTAATTTAAAAGTATTTGTGCCTGTTGTAAATCTTCATGCCTCTTTCAGATGAGATGTAGTCTGAAAGACAAAATCATAAATGCCACGTTAGGCATATCATGTATATGGAATGAAGCACAATATGTTCAGTCCATGCAGGATCGAAGTTAGCATTTTCTAAGGGAAGGGCCACTGGTTTTAATATTGCCATCCACATGAAAGACCAAAAGAAGCAGAACCTTTGAAAGTTAAAAAAGTTTATTTTTTCCTGTATCTTTACAGCGGACTTCCTTTTCTCAGTGTGCTCATCTGTGCAGGGTGCTATTTGGAGGTGACAGCTGTCCTAAAACCAAACCAACTCAAATTTGGCCGGTTTTCAGAATCTGCTTGCTTTTCTATACCCCCAGCTGTCCTATTGATTTCAGCTCCCTTTATGTTAGTAAAAATTGGGACATTCTGGTTTTGTATAGAAACACTAATTTATCAGGTCATTCCTTACCTCTGGAGAAATGAGGTGGGTATGCAGGGTTTTTTTTAACAGAAGAGAGCAGGATGACGGTTTCCATTAAAATCTAGCGTAACATAGACTTAGTGCAATTTATGACCACTTTGAAGTTATCTGTTGTGTAGCGTGCTTTAGAAGCACCTGGAAATCTCTGGTCTCTCAGAAGGGACTTCACGTTTTGTGAATTCTGATTGTACAACGTGGACTAAGTCACATACGTGCTACAATAAAGCAACCTTTAACCAACTCTCCATCATTTTCTTTCATTAGCCTTTCAAATGTGAAGATAACCACAAAAGTAAATAATAGTGAAATACTGGTTATTTAGTCTCTGAAACTGAGTATTCTTGCAGCAAACTTCTCATCCCCCTTTTTTTTTCGCCCAGCAAGTGGATAAAAAGAATACAGATTGATCATTTGTTTCCTGTGTGCTACTTTAGGAGTCCCCTTAATTATGATTGCCTTGAACAGGCCTCAACTTTCGGTACACTGAAGCTAATTCAAGCTTAAATGGGTTATTCGGACTACTGCATGAGACAATATCAAAGTAGTTTATGACGTTATGGGTTCCTCTTGTTCATTATTGGCTGTGAGCTAAAAGGTGATCTGGGATGAACGTTTTTATGTCTAGTCCCTTCATATTGCACAGTCTGTTTACGTTATTTTTTCTTACACTGTTCCCATAGGTACCGCAGTGAGAAGGTGACAATCAGTTATGCAGAATACATGGCTTCCCGTCAGCATTGTTTCCAGAATGGCACTCTTCATGCCCCCCCCCTCTACAATCATTACTCCTGACACACGGCTGCATGACCAGTCCCACTCCCCAGTTGCTGCCAACGGCTACGACATCATTGGGGCAGATGCCTCCTCTTCCTGGTCCAGTTACTTCTATTACTGCACCATTTTATGATGCTAGCTTCCGTTGCCAAGTCTGCCTTCCAGCTGACCTGGGGGGAGGATGAGAGCATGACAGAACTTCAGGGGCCCAAGCCTTATCTCAACCTTCCCTCCGAACGGGGGTTCAGTTGGATTGGGGCTCCATGCCTACGAACTGTCGTGAGGTGCAGAAGACCTCTAGGAGTGAAAGTGCCACTTCGGACTGATCCGTTCTTGTGTGTTACCGACACTCCGGAAACTTGAGTTGTTTGTTATGGAAGCCCCCCCAGATCAAGTAGGAGCATTCCCCTGGCAGCCTGGGCAACGGAGTCCAACAAAACATTTTTTAGGTTCTTTTTAATTTTTTTTAACCTCTGGTATCTGTTGTGTACCAAGAGCTGATTGCAGTCCCCACACATCACAGGCGGACGTTATGATACTGGGGAGGGTTGAACATCTGGATAGCACCCCATCCTCATGGACAGAAAACACTTAAAAGATGTGAAAAACCTTCAGATGGTATTGCAGATGAATCCATTATTTAAATAAACCCTAGAAGGCTTTAATTATCAGATCCCACTGTGGGTTGGATTCTCTAGAAATCCTCTTGGTTTACAGTTTTCTGGGTTTTTAGGCTGCGCTTTGTAATGTAGCCTGCTATGAAATAGAATGCTGTTATGCCTATAAGAGAGCAACATGGCACATGCTGTGTATGCAAAGGACAAGGTACTTGAATGTCCCTGGACAGTCTTCTCTGTTACGACCAAGTTTTATGTCCAGACATTTGTAACGGAGTCTGACTGGATTAGGGATGGGGAGGGATTTGCAGGGCATTGACTGTAGTCATACGAGTGAGACTAGTGACTGAAATTTGTTTAACTTAAGCTAACAGTCTCGGGGACCTTCCTTTTGATAGGACAGCCACTTTCTCTGGTGTGACTAACAATCTTGAGAACTGTGAGTGTTCCAGTTTATAGCAGGCTTATGAAATAGAGCTGTGTAGTTTCACTGGTAAGTTATATAATTATACAGTTTGGGCATTACCACATCAAGGCAATGAGTGGGGAAACCTGTGTTACTCAAACTGTGTGAAACTCAGGTGCATTCTGTATTTCTTCTCCCATCATTGATGATTACAAGAAGTACTCTCATCTAACAGGAAGATAAGTTATACAGTTGTTATTCTGCAGCGTCATTGAGGGATGTCATAAACTCTAAATTTTGACACTCTCTCAATGAGGTTACTAGACTTCAAAATATAATTTTGGGGTATTGGTTTTCTTTTGTTTTCCAAGTTTCTGAAGGGTCAGCAATGATCAGGAAGGAAAATACAAGTGCATAGCAGAGTAATGGCTATTTGGTTGCATATATCTTTAAAGTTTGCTTGTGTGTGGTAATGATGGCTTTTAAAATTGGCTGGTGTTTCAAGCCTGAAATTCTCTCCTGGTGTGGAAGGGAATAGGGCTGGTAGAAAGCTCAGAACTGCATGCTGCTGCTCCTTCTGGTCCTAGAGAAGCAAACTGAATTGTGCAGTTTTGCTTCATGTAGGTGTAACGTTCTTCTGCTGGAGGAGAGAGATGTGAGGGAAAGGAGGGGGTCCTATTCTGGATAACGGTGCAATATCGACCCAGCTTTCCTCCTGTACTGGGTCATTCTCACAAATTGCCACTTTTCCCTTGCGATGTTGTTGAGAAGCAATTGAAGATTGAGGGATTGTTTCATGATTTCCTGCTGCTGAGAATAAATCGCTCTTGTTACAAACTCGAGTGGTTTGTAATTACTCTCCCAGGTGCCATGTAGTGATGGGGGAGGGTGGGGTCAGCTCTGGACATACCATTCACCTTTCAGCTGTCAAACAGTATGATACATAGGGCTACACTCATTACTGTTCAAGTGTTCTATGTTAGAATTTAATTTCTAAAAGGTTTAAAAAAAGCAAAAAAATGGTGCTAAAACTTCACCCCTGAGCACGCTCAGTGAGACTGGTCATGCAGGCATATAGTGCCAGGCTTTTCAACAATATTGTTTCTTTTTCAAATGTTTGCCCTGTTCTATGTCTTCAACAGTGTATAGTGTTTTCCTGATTTCATTTTATTTGAATAGGGGACGACTAAGGGGTGGGGTGGGGAGGGTTAGCTGTCATTTTTAAAGAACAGAATTTTAGGATTGAGTGACTTGGTTGGTTTAAGCCTGAAGTGGGATAGATGGTTTGGGACTGGGGAAACCTTATCCTCTCCCACTTCCATTTCCCCACTCAGACTGTTTAAAAAAAAAAACAACAAAAAACACAAAACAAAAATGCCTCTAAAATATGTACTGTGTTCTTGTCTTGTTGCAGTGAGAAGCTAGCAAACCAGAAACACTGGTCTGCTGCCTAAGAAACAGGCCCTCTCAGCTTTAGTCCCATAAGGGTCCAGCTATAAAATCAGTTGAAAAGTGTGTCAATAGTTAAGGTAGCTCAGAAAAATGTATGACAAGGACAGGTGGTCTCAGGAAATAATCCCATTTCTAGATCATTACACGGCAGCTATGCGTAAGGATGAAAGAGGTGAACTAGAAACAAAATGTACTTTGAGTTGCCTCAAGAGGGAGGTAACCAAAATCAATGGCCAATTGATTTAAGAATATCTCTGTGTTTACTTGGCTGGGACAGCAGGTTAGAACTACTCCTTCTCAAAGCAGCTGTTAACCTGGTTTGATGTGGATTTAACTCATCCTTAGAAGCAAGTGCCTTTTGGTCTAGAAGGGCTTATTCTCATGACAACCACAACTGAGAAATAATCTCACTGCAATTATGAATTGTCTTTGTTTTACAGTAACTACAGGAGAATGTCTTTGATCACTGGAGTCTGTCAGTGTTGGAATGTTTCCACTGTGAGGTTCTTAATATTTTTTTTTTTTTTTTCATAACGTTCAACAGTATCTCAACTGAGGCCATTTCAGTTTGGGAAGGTTTTGTGGTCAAAATATCACATATCTACAATTTATCAGAACAAAAAAAAATCTGTAAGAAAATCTAAGAGTTCATTTTAATCTTTGCACAGAGTAATTTGTTTTCATAGTACATTAACAAACATCTGCAATCTTCACTGACTATTAGTGCTGTTTTCTGTTTGTATTCTGGAAACTACATGTTGTTTTGTTGGGTTTTTTTGGTTAATTTATTTCCTTAAAGCAGGAGACCTCTTTTGACTTTCAGTGCAGAGATGTCAGACCAATTCTTTGTATTACACTTGGTTGCCTCCTACCTATATAATAACTTCTGAGTGTAAATAATTGAACTCTATCCTCTAATGAAGTATTGTAGAGAATAAATCATAATGGATAAAGATTATTTGTCCTGTCCTCTTTATATTGTTTCTCACAGCCTTTATGGGGGATAAGATGAAATCTTTCACATCTAGAACAATGAACAATATACTACGTGTATGCATCCCACAACTCTAAATTGCATTAAATGTTCAGAACCAGGGAGGTTGCGAGAATGGTATGACAGCTGTCTGGAAGCACAGAAATAGTCAAGACAGGGTTACTAGAAGAAAGCAAGGAAAAATAGTAAGAAAATTAAAAACAAATATTAAATATGTTTCATTAATAATGGTATAGCAAAGTATCTTTGTATCCTGAAATAATGTTTGTTTGACAAAACCTCTCTATTAGTTCTCATGATGATTAAATATATAAAGCATATATATGCAGAATTCTATATCGTACTGAAAATCCTGAATTTGTAAATCTGGCTTCAACTACCGAAATTGTTCTTTGGGTTTTTTTGTCTTTTAAAATGAACTACTGAAAACAGATTATCTGTACTTTACAGGTTGTAGTCTTCAGGTGATCTAAAAATGTTATTTCAGGAAAAAGAAACGCCCATCTTTCTAGATTCTTACTAAATATTTTAATGTTTGCTTTGGGACAGGATCAATTGATTTGTATAATAGTTCTGATGTACATACCTCTGGCTTAAACACTTTCAGATTATTGCTCATTTTTTATTTACACCAGATCCTACATTTCTTGTTTGTGGTTCTTAGGAAGGGCAGCCCCAGATATCAGTGATGAACAGGTATGAGACCCCCCCAAAAAACCCCAGCCAAACAAATGGGGAGAGGGTAGTTTTCACTTAAATATGCCAAAGAAACTCGTTGACTTCAGTGCAACTACAAACCAAAAAGCCTGTTTTCAGAAAATATGCTTCTGGTACTAGTAAAACTAGAAAGTAAATCCCCTATGCAATATGAGGAGTGGGCTGAGGAGGACTCTGCGGCTAACATGATTGCCAGGTGACTCATAAATTCTGAAGTCAACCATAAAATTAGCATCCACTGTTGTTGTGTGCCTAGGTAAGTCATCAGGTATATTCTCTCAGCTTCTTTGTTGGCTAGAACACAGTGACTTATTTGTGCACTTTTATGGCATGTTTTTCCTTACTTGATTCTTTTGGTTTCACATTGAATCAGTCAGACACAAAATCTTTGTCTGGTGTCTTTCATCAGAGGTTCTTTCATGCATGTTGCTTTCTGTAACTGCAGTAACACTCAGCAGCTCAGAATGAAGATGAGGCCAGGTAGAAGAGTGTACATATGACTGCACACTGAAACAGTTCAATCCAGACTAAATATAAACCAGGATAATTCTCCAGAAAACACTTTCATCTGTTTTTACTTCTGTTTGAAGTAAGAATGAATCAGTCATTTTGTACTCACTTCCTTCTCAAAACAAATTACAGAAAGATTAAGAGAAATCTCTACAAGATGCTTCAAATGAAGAATACTTGAGCATTTTTATTCTAAACACAAAAATATTTTTTTGACAAAATTTGTATTATAAGATACCTAATTGTTATTGAGAAATGCTACTTCTTGAGGATAAAAATTAAAACCAGAACACTTCATGCGACTCAATAAATTAATATTGATACTGAGCTATGTATTAATGAGGATTGCTCTCAAACTGAGTTGTAGTACATTGAGCAGTAAGAGAGAGAAGTTCCTTAACTGTTTTTGCTACAATCTGGTAAAACGTGAGCTGTGAATGTATTTGATGATCACTCCCAAAACACAGAAAGCCCAGAGGACTATTGTTACCATGTTCTTAAAACAAGTATCTAACTCTAGAAATCGACCGATATCCAGATTATTGAACCATACTTTTTTTCCTTTTTTATAGTCAGCTAGACTACTCTTAGAGGAATTCTGACATAAACTATGCATCATACAACCAGATGATAGTATGTTTAGATGTCATTATATATGTCTTTTAAAACTTAACAGATCATGCAAGAGACAGTTTTGCATTCAGATGCTTATTATCTCTTTATTACTGGGAATTACTGTATATTGT